CACCATTGCTGCCTAAATTAGCTTGTATATGTTATGTTTCTTCCTGGAAACATGAAATTCAGCCATTTTTGGATCTACTGAGTCATGATTTTTAAATGCTAACTTTATGCCTTTCGTATTAATCTATTATTCATGATCAAATAAAGTTTCATACATTAGTATGAATTTAGTTTGCTTAGCTTGATTTGTTTTCATGTTTTGTAGTTGGAGAAAACTCAGACTTGTCTGACTCTGACCCCGAGATTGTTATTAAAAGGCCCTCTGAGTTTGATCTTGCTGATACACTGGTAAGTACAATTTAAATTTTTTTTTATAGAGTTTTCTTGTTGTTTAGCCACCACCATTTGCCTCAGTTCAGTAAAACAGTTAATAGTTATATGTGAAATACATTTTTTGTGTGTGTGCGTGCGTGCGTGCGTGCGTGCTCGCTCGCATGCGTGCGTGTGTTTGTTTGTTTGTTTCAGCCATGGGAACTTCAACATGAAAGCAGTCCTTTACAGAAAGCGGCAGAATATGAGTAAGTGATATTTTAAGAACATGTAATCTTTTACTGTTTTTTGCCTAAACTTTTGTATTAATGAGATATACACTTTTGTCAAGGTTAAAGGTTCAAGGTTCTTTATTTGTCACATGCATAGTTATACAAGTACACACAGTCATTCATTCTGTATATGGTTTTTGGAACATGGACTACATAATACTTGTATTGCTTGTTTGTTAATCAAGATGCTTAAATATTTTCAAAGTGTCAATTAATATTTTCACAGTACACAACAATAATGCTTTTCTTTGTTCTCTAAGGAAGGGTGCTGGGGATCTTGTGCTTGCTAATGAAGTACAACAGGTAAAAAACTATTTTATTAGTAAAACAGTGCAGCAGACAATCTCCACCGCCTTTACTTTGCAATTAGATGACGATTCACTGTTTGCTTATTACATTCATTGTTATTATACAATGCATTTCACATCATCAATTTTCATACTATCAATAGATTATAACATCCACCCCTTAAAGGTACACTAAGTGAAATAATCACAAAGCAGTCTAATGTCTCAATCATGTTGGAAGGAAGGTTACATTGAAACTAACTGTGTATGACTCGTCTTTGTCATCTTGAATCTTCTGGCGCTGATCCGTAGCCATGAAACTCATGGAACGGGAGGAGGGAGAGTCACTCGTTTGTTTATAAAGATAGACTGTAGTACACAAATTTGACCACAAGATTTCTTATTTCATTCTTACTTACTGTACCTTTAGATAATCTATTGGGATAGGAAACCTAAGGTACATCCATCTACTTCGGACCATGGGTCCCATACTGCTAAAAAAATAGGAGTCTATGAGCCAATAAAAATTCTTTTCTGATCCCGTTTGATGTGTATAATGAATTTAAAATATGATGTCCGTGAAGTATATAAACACATTTTGATGCCAAAAAGTGCTTAAGCGACAGGTGGCAAAGGTTATTTTATGTTTTGTTTGAAAAGACGTGGCGAAATGTAAATGTTCGTCTCACAAAATTGACATCATCGAACCAGACACAGAGAAGAGGAAAAGCTTAGTTTTGTTTAGCGAGCTTCGAATCCTTCTTCCAGGATGATGTGGAGAAAACCACTATAAATCTGGCCATGTGATAATTAGCAGCTACGCTGGGGGAGAAAAGCTTCTGAGGCGACATCATATTTGCGACATCTGACTTGTAGTCATTTTAAGGACAAATTTTTACAAGCTAACAAATCTCAAATTACATTACAGACATAGTCGAAACACAATTATTTATTATTTAAATTGAAGTACAACATATGTGTGATTCAGAGAGTAAGGCAAAGCAGACCAGAAAATAACTTTTATAGCTCCATTCACTTCCATTCTTTTGTTCAGGGACCCACGAGCAGACCAGAAGGGGAGGAGACTTAGGCTCCCTATATTAAAATAATTATCAATTGGTCAAATATGAATTTTCATTCATCCTCTTTTCTGTATTTCCAGGTCATAGATTTGGAAGAAGAAAACGATACAGGCACTACTGAATGCCTCACTGTCGAGAGCTCCTGTTACAGGTGCGTTGTATCTTGAGTAATTATTCCAGAGGTTTGCACAAAATATATACACACAATTATTATAAATGTATGTAGTTTGACTCTTTTACATTTGATTCTTCAGAAAAATAAATAGTAGAATCGTTCTATAAAAGTGGAACTGCATGTTTATGCATTTGTATTTTTGCATCTACACTTTGTGTACATGTTTTCACTCTGCAGAAACTACACACAGCTGTTTGAACCGATTGTGATTGATGATGAAGATCCTACTCCTAACGAAGCCAAAGCTGAGCCCCCAGAAGAACCTGTGTTAGTAATTTAAACATTTGAATCCAATTAACCGCCATCTTGTTCTGTACAAGACATCATGCAATCATGAGAGAAGTATATACACCTTTAAAAAATAAGTTTCCCTTTTTTTTTTTTTTAGAGACACCAATTTGGAGGCACATGAAATTATTGCAAATTTGGCACTGGAACTTGACCACAAGAAGGTCAGCAGGTTCAATATATCAAGGTCAGCTGTATGGGATGGAGCTGTTAGAGGATTTCGACGCAGCACATACTCTGACAACTACGACATGTTCATCAAGTTTAATGATGATGCTGGCAGCTTTGAAGACGGTTTGGATACAGGTGGCCCGAGGCGTGAATTCCTCACACTTCTTATGGGCAGTCTGAGAAATTGCCCCATCTTTGATGGACCTCCAGAGAGCCGTTATCTTGTATATAATTCAAGAGGTGGATGTTTTCTCCGTAATTATTACAATGGAAATTTTAATAAAAATTGGCTTATTTTTTTCATTAGCATATTTAATAGCAATTAACCATGATAATTATGTGCCCTGTATTACAGCTGCCAGGCAAGATGAGTACTTTTTAGCAGGAAAGATGATCGCTGTATCCATTGTGCATGGGGGACCAGCACCACATTTCCTCTCCAAGAACCTGGTCAACCACATCACAGGGAATCAGAGTTTCAGCGCCACTGTAGAAGATGTGCAAGATGAGGAGATCACAAAAGTTCTACATCAGGTAGAAAATTACCTAGGCTCAGGGAATGGGTTTACTTAGAAGACACTTGGGGCCAGTTTAAAAGATTAAATCAGGATAACAGTTATCCGTGTTGGATCATATCTTGAAAGTAGGTTCAAGGTAGATTCTGTAATCTGAAAGGACAGATTTCCACCTCCCAACAACACAAGTGAAATAACAAATTGATTATTTCTTTAATCCAATGTTTGAATGAATCGTAAAAGTAGTGAAAATTATTTTTGTTTTTCTTACAGTAAACCTTTTTTTTTTTTTTTTTTTTTTTTTTTTTAGGTCCTGAAAGCTGAATCAGAGGAGTCTTTGCACAATCTTATTTTGCAAAACAGCACAATCTTCCAAACTGCTGGATGCCTCAGAAATGTCAAGCCTTGTGAGAAACAAGCATTTGTGGAGGAATACCTCAGATGGTACATCCTTGAAAGAAACCAAAGTGTCATACAACGGTAAACTCATTACTCCTTTTAAATTCAGGATGGCCAGTTGCTCATCACAGCAGCCACTGACATTTTCAGACCTTCAGATGTATATGAAAAAACTGATTCGGTAGCATCCGGTGATCTGATGAACAACAACTTAATTCCTGAGCCACTGTTGCACGCTATTAACCTTTTGACACTAGAACTCTAATTTAGTATACATTTATTGTTCACAATGACCCATAATAATCAGTCATGCAACATGATTAATTTTTCAGTTATTTATAAAAAGAGGTGATCCCTTTTTCGACACACTTGTTTATTCCACTGTGAAAGCACTATTTTTTTTTAAAATGCTGAAATCCCAATGAGCTCTTCTTTTTTTGCTGTCACAGTTAATTTATGAGCACTATTAATTATTTTTGTGTATGCATTTGAAATCTGTCCAAATTTATAATGAAAGATCTAGTAGGTAAAGTCATTTAAACACAATTTAGAAGACTGCAATAGTCATAGCTATAAACCAATTATTAGTTATTTGTCTATCCTTTGCAGATTTAAAGATGGACTGGAAAGTCTGAATTTTTTAAGTGCACTGCAAAAACATTCCAGTGTGCTGGCCCCACTCCTATGCTTCTCTGCAAAGGCCCTGACTGCTTCAGAACTGGAGAGCATGTTCAGACCAGATCTCAGCCCAGCAGGAAGCAACAAGCGGCATAAGGAGGTCCTAACACTTGGCTTTTGGGCAGATTATCTCCTTGATTGTGGTTTGAATGGCCGTTTTTATTTGTTTATAGTTTTATGAAAGGAGAGGTAAGGAAATTAATTTTCTGTAATGTACTACAGTGTTTACTTTGTTCTTTCAGAGAAGGCAACAGCAGTGTGTCTGGAAGATTTGATGATGTTTGCCACAGGGCTGACGGCAGTTCCACCGGCAGGAATGACACCACCACCATGCATCCAGTTTTTAAGTGATTCGCCTTTTCCAGTTGCAAACACCTGTGCAAATACTCTGAAGCTACCCATCTGTGACTCATATGGCATCTTTAAGGCCAACATGGACTTTGGAATTCAAAATGCTCCAGGATTTGGATGTTCTTAAATCAGCAAGGTCATCAAGTTACAGTTACTGAGTTACCCTGTTAAGTAGTGTGCCAACGGCAGCTGAACTTAACACATTCATGTGATAAGCAACTTCCATATTGTTAAACATTTAGTTGTTTTTTCTTAATATTGTGTATGTTGGAAAAGTGACAGAAATGCTGGACACTATTTGTAAATGGTTTTATTAAAGAAAATTGTAAATGTTTCCTTGTGGTTAAATGTTAATATTTAAATTCATGCCAGTTGCTGTATATTATGAACAATATTATATTCAATTTAGCAAGAGGGAAAGGAAACACTACTAACATTAAAAAAATGAAGGAAAAACAGAAGGGCTGGAGCACTCAAGTCCAAAGGTTTTATTAGGTGCAAAAAAAAGGAAAGAAACTAACGTTTCAACACAGTGTGTGTCTTCGTCAGAGTAACTCTGACAAATGTCATTACAAACTGAAGTTCAGTTGGTATCTAAAACCCAGCTATGTCCTTCAGGGCCAAATACAGTTCTGTGGCCGATTCCCAGTCTTGTGGCTGCTGCAGTGTGTTTTGTTGTACAGCCTGTTGTAAATATTCCTCAATGTTTGGATCACCACACAATCCAACCGGTAGCCCCTCCTCGGGAAACACATCCAGTTCCCTCTCCTCAACAGCAAATCCACAGTCTCTTGAACCATATCTGCAAAATGAAAATAGAACAGTGAAGGATTTTTTGCTGACAATATGGAACTATATAAATCAACGCATGCAGTGACATGTTATAAACTGCTGTATCATACTTATGTGTAAAATTATGAATATATATTAACCAACTTAAGCAATAACAACACCTTGCATTTAGTTTGATGCAAAAGGTTAATTCATTTTGTTAAGAACTCAAATACCTGTGAGGCAAGAGATAGAGTTCGTTTGGAATCCCCCCTGGACACGATGCAAGTCTGCTTGGCCGGATCCTGTGTTTGTTCCAGAGGTCTTTGCATTCATCCAGGTCTTTCTGTAGAACCCCTCTGAAGCAGAATCTCAGCAAGCATTGGTGTTCGTGGCTTCCATTTAAGTTTCCAGAGTCTCTTAGGTCTCCAAACAAGTCCATCCAAAACTGAGACCTGGGTATATAATTAATATTTAAGAATCAATTTAGCTTTGTTCTTGGTCATTTTATAGGGTTTGTTACATTTTGGTCCCATTTAAAACATGCCACAAATGGATGTCAAACAAAGTAATGCATATTAGTTTTCCATAAATATTGTAGCGACCCTGCAGTAATGTTCTTGTTAAAAATGCTGTATTCTTTTCACTCTGTGTGTTGATTGTGAGGAGTGGAGAGTTTGGTCTGAGTTCTTCATTTTGTATTGGCGTCGTTAAATCTAGGCAAGCATGCTCATTTCGGCACAACAGCTGACAGTGACCATTTTGAGTTCCTGCAATAAAGTGACGGCTGTTAACGTCTATCTCATCCAACTTTTCAACACGTCCAGCAGGACGCTACTCTATTTTCTTAAATGCATGTAAAAAAAAAACGATCTGATCAGCTTTCACTGTAGCTTACACCTACCAGACACAAATGTACCCACCTTCCTCTTCTGAAATAAGACCACCATGACTCGATGCGCTGATTCCCAGTAGATGATCCGTAACTGTGGCTTGACGATCCAGCATAATAGTCCGTGTGCGCGTGACGGAGGGTAAACTGTATTGCTGCCATAGTCCCATTCTCAGTCCCGAAGTCTGTTCGTAATCTCATTGGTATCACACCAAGACTCTTTACACAGTTTATATAATTGTGAGCTATAACAGCCGGGTTGTTGTTTGTTGCTCCACACACAAGCCACATCAGTCTTCTTGAAAAGCCATCTATACATCCTGACAGGGCCAAGCCAAAGGGTTTCAGTTTATCATAGCCATCTACATGCCATATGTAATTGGGCCCCATGGAGTGATACGTGCGTCTTGTGAACCTCCTTCGAGTTCTCAAAGGGATTCCTTGAGGATTTAGTTGTCTCAACAGCCTCATAACTACATCACGCTTGACACGCAGCTTGTGTTTTTGTTTGAGAACTTGCCACATGGTCCGATATCCAAACAATTGTCCTGGTCCTCGAAGCTCGGCCAAAATGGCACGCCTCACCTCAGGAAGTGGAGAATAGTTGCCTCGTCTGTACAGTCCAGATTCTTTTAAATGCGTTTTCAGTGTACGCATACTAATTGCAATGTCATGATTACACTTGAGCATATCCAGTATCACCTCGTATGTATGTCCTGAATCAAAATATTCTCGAATAGCGACAGCTATGTTTGGGTCACCGCTAATGTTCATGTTTGAAAAAAATGCGCCACAGGCAGAGTAACTTCCGGTTCCAAAGATGAACAGCGCGGACGTCCAATCAGTGATGTCTCCTGTTGCCGACTGGTACCTACCCTTTCCGGTTTTCTTAATGTAATTGTGCTTCTCAATTTGTTTTTGTGATTCTTCTTTTGTTTTTGTGCTTCTTGATTTGTTTTTGTGATTCTTGATTTGTTTTTGTGATTCTTGATTTGTTTTTGTGATTCTTCTTTTGTTTTTGTGCTTCTCAATTTTGTTTTTGTGCTTCTCAGTTTTGTTTTTGTGATTCTCAGTTTTGTTTTTGTGCTTCTCAGTTTTGTTTTTGTGCTTCTCAGTTTTGTTTTTGTGATTCTCAGTTTTGTTTTTGTGCTTCTTGATTTGTTTTTGTGCTTCTCAATTTTGTTTTTGTGATTCTCAGTTTTGTTTTTGTGCTTCTCAATTTTGTTTTTGTGATTCTCAATTTTGTTTTTGTGATTCTCAATTTTGTTTTTGTGATTCTCAGTTTTGTTTTTGTGATTCTCAATTTTGTTTTTGTGATTCTCAATTTTGTTTTTGTGATTCTCCTTTTTTTTTTTGTTTCTCGATTTTGTTGTTGTGTTTAGCAATTTGTTGGTGTGATTTGCACTTCAGGGCCTCTCAATTTTGTTGTTGTGTTTAGCAATTTGTTGGTGTGATTTGCACTTCAGGGCCACCGTATTTTAACCACACATACAGCCTAAAAACACTGCCTCGTTTCTACATCCCAGTTATGGGTGTAATTCAAGATGTTCTTTTTAATTACTACATTTGATATAAATACTCAACTCTATAAGAACAAAGGCCACAAGAAGAGTGGGTCTGTAGCCTATGCTCTGAACCATATACAGATTCAGCCTTTCCTTTCATTTCCCTCAAATCCAATGAAGCTGTGGTGTTGACATGCAGTAGGGGGCTGAAGTGTGCTGCTGGCATGGGGGAACAGTGTGGATCCTGCCTGCAGGCACCCTGCAGACCTGTTTGTTGATTACAGATAGAGGTTGTATACATAAATGTTTATCATGTATTAAGATGGCAAATACTGTTGTAGAAATGGGAATGAAACATTTCATTAATTAGCAAGTAATTGAACAGTTAAAATGCACATTATTTCATTTCTCTAACAGGAAATATAAATTTAGAAATAAACAGGCAAACCAATTAGCTGAAACTAAAAGAAGAGTCATTAAAATGTTTATTTTAGAAATGTGAAATATTAATACATCAATAATTCAAATAAAAAAAAAATATAAAAAAGTCAACAGGAAAATCATTTAAAAATATACATGATTAAGTCGTGAATAATTAATAAACTTTTTTTTCCATTTTTTTTCAGTGCAGTTTAAAGTGAGTTAAAGATTACAGGCTATAAATGTACATTCAGTCCCTTTTGTTGATTTGTGTTTTCGGTCGTTGTGTCCTTGGGCAAGACACTTCACCTGTTGCCTACTGGTGGTGGTCAGAGGGACGGTGGCGCCAGTGTCCAGCAGCCTCGCCTCTGTCAGTGCACCCCAGGGCAGCTGTGGCTACAATGTAGCTTGCCATCACCAGTGTGTGAATGTGTGTGTGAATGGGTGGATGACTGGTTGTGTAAAGCGCTTTGGGGTCCTTAGGGACTAGAAAGGCGCTATACAAATACAGGCCATTTACCATTTTTATTTTGTTATTTTTTCTATTCATTGTTGGATGCGATTTGTCATTTAGCTTCTCTTTTTGGGTCTGATATACTGGTCAGTGATGTGCTGGGACAAATCCAAGTTGGCCATCACATTGACACAATTAAAAAGAATTGTTTAAGGGAGATATTGTCACACAACTTCTGACCTCGACATGAGCTTTTTAGCTGTTGTATATCACAGTTTGGTTAGGGTTAGGCACAATAAGCATTTGGTTAGGTTTTCGAAAAACTGATGGATTGCCTTGCAATCCGGTTGTTCAGTGATGACGCGACGAATCCTACTTCCTGGTCTAAAGTAAAAGAAGATGGCGCCGGTGAGGTCGGCTGCCGTCACGACTGCTCCGACCACTTTTTCTTTGTCTTTGTTTTTTAAGTTAGTTTTCAGCGTTTCTAAATCGGCAAAATCATCACCATTGGGTACATTAGGTATGACAGTGACACTCTTGTTTCTATTGGTATACAATGTACTCACAATTCGAAGTTTTTAACTCCGAATCCGAGCTGGCCGAGTGAGATCTTGAGGGAGAACAAAGGGAAGCGGCGGTGGCCTAGAGGGAAGCGAGCCGGCGTCAGGAACAGGCTGAGAGCTCGTGCACACCGCACACCTCTGCCTAGCATCCTGCTCGCCAACGTCCAGTCACTGGAGAACAAGCTTGACGAGCTCAGGGCCAGGGTAAAGTTCCAGAGAGACATTCGGGACTGCAATCTCCTCTGCTTCACCGAGACATGGCTGAACCCAGCGGTGCCGGACCACGCCATCCAGCCGGCCGAGTTCTTCTCGGTTCACCGCATGGACAGGACACGGGACTCGGGGAAGTCAAGGGGAGGCGGCGTGTGTTTAATGGTGAACAACAACTGGTGCAACAGTGCGAACATTGTTCCTCTCACACGCTCCTGCACACCAAATTTGGAACTACTGTCCATCATGTGTCGTCCTTTTTATCTACCTCGGGAATTTACATTGGTCATTATAAATGCCGTTTATATTCCACCACAAGCGGACACGGTCACCGCCTTATGCAAGCTGCATGAGGCACTCACACAGCACCAGACACAACACCGGGACGCTGCGCTTATTGTGACGGGGGACTTTAATAGCGCCAACCTCAAACGCGCAGCGCCGAACTTTTATCAACACATCATCTGCCCCACCAGAGGTGAAAGGACACTGGACCACTGCTACACTACGGTCAAGGCGGCTACAAGGCACAATCCCGCCCTCCGTTTGGTAAATCTGATCACGCCGCCATCATGCCAAAATACAAAGAAAGGCTGAAACAGGAAGTTCCGGTTCAAAGGAAGGTCGCGCGCTGGACGGATCAATCGGTGGCCGCGTTACAGGACGCACTCGATGACGCAGACTGGGGCATGTTCAGAAACAGCTCCGATGATGATGTCAACGTGTTTACGGAAGCGGTTGTGGGATTCATCGGGAAACTAGCGGATGATACCGTGGAGACAAAGACTATCACAACGTTTCCCAACCAGAAGCCGTGGGTGGATAAAACCATCCGCGACGCTCTGAGATCCCGCACCGCTGCCTACAACACGGGACTCGCGATGGGGGACATGGACCCGTACAAAGCCGCGTCATATAACGTGCGGAGGGCGGTGAAAGAGGCGAAGCAGCGCTACGGGAGGAAACTAGAGTCACAACTCCAAAAGAGTGACTCTAGGAGCATGTGGCGGGGACTAAGGACAATAACGGACTATAAAGCACCAACAACCGGTATGACGAACGCGGCCGTGACTCTGGCAGACGAGCTGAACACTTTCTATGCTCGCTTCGAGGCTGCAGCTAAGGACTCCAACAATGCTAGTGCTAGCGACGCTAACGGCTGCAGACAGGAAGATACTGCCAGCACCGGAAACGTTCTCGTCACCTCCGAGCATGAAGTAAGGAGAGCCTTCAAAAGAGTGAACACCAGGAAAGCAGCAGGACCAGACGGCATCCCAGGTCGTATCCTCAGAGACTGCGCATACCAGCTAGCTCCTGTGTTCACTGAGATATTCAACATCTCTTTATCTCAGTCAGTGATCCCCACATGCTTCAAAGAGTCCATCATTGTTCCTGTCCCGAAGAAACCCCACCCTGCTTCTCTCAATGATTATCGCCCTGTAGCCCTCACCTCAGTAGTGATGAAGTGCTTTGAACGCCTGGTCAGAGACTTCATCACAGAGAGACTGAGGAGGAGCTTCTTCCCGCAGGCGATACGGTCTCTCAATCACACCACCACACAGTACTGACCCAGTACTTACACACACACTGGACATTGTTTTCACTTCATCACTTAAATCACTTTAAGCATATTTGCACTGCACAAGACATAATGTGGATTGCACAACACTGGTCACTACATTCTTCATTTCCAGTTAATACTTGTACAGCTGCTGTTATTGTGTATATATTTATTTATATTTCTTCATACATTCTTATATAGTTCTATATTGTGTATTTTGTTGTACAGTTATTTTATTTTCAACTTTAATTTATATACACTCAACAAAAATATAAACGCAACACCTTTGTTACTGCTCCCATTCCCCATGGGATGGACGTAGAGACCTAAAATTCATTCCAGATACACAATATAACCATCCCTCCCAAACAGTGGTCACAAATCAGTCCAAATGTGTGGTAGTGG